GCAGCACCGTTTGCAGAATGGGACTTTTGGCGGGCTCAGCAGGGCAGAGACAGCCTGGACAATTCCTATTGGCTTTTGAAAGCCAATAGAATTAGACTCTATTCAAGAGAGTCTATTCTATTGGCTTTCAAAAGCCAATAGAATAAAAGGGAGTAGCACAGCTAAGGAAAAGGGGGAAAAAATGGTGGACTGCATTGTTTGGCGACCCCCGTGAAATGGTCGTTCGACCCCAAATGGGGTCCTGACCCACAGGTTGAGAACCACTGGGATAGACCATCCTGCTCTGCGGCTAGAGGAAGGCCATCTCTATGTGAGAATACATGATTGTCCTTATTGGTAACAACAACAACAACAACAACAACAACAAACTGAGTTTCAATGAAGACCACATTGTTTATGGTTATCACAATGTTCGGATGCATTTAGATAGTCATTCTATCATTTTATAAGCAGGGTAAAATGGAAGGGCAGAACTGAAAAAAAAAAAAGCTCATCGCAGAAAATGTGTCTTATTTACAGACTTTCACGTTCAAAGCATTACTTTGAATAAATACACTGACTAGAAAAAAGAGAAAAGAAGTGAACCAGGAATTCAGGCACCAAAGACAAGCAAAATTCCATCTGCTCCATGGGAAAGCTTTGTGATCAAATCTACAACTCTCTCTGTATTTAGCGATATTCCAAATTGGTTCCCGATTGGTCCTTTTGCTAGTTCAGGTGGAAAATAGTTGGCTAAGGTGGTGGAATTCTGAAGTACATATTTTTTGATTGATGGGAGCTCTAATGTTTTTCAAACAAATAAACCTCCTGCTTATAAGGGTTTTTTATTTTTTTAAAAATCAACTACAGTACCACCTCTTTAGTACACCATTGTGACTTTGAATTTCAGATCTATAACCTCAAAAATAACCCAAAACCAAGCCTTTCTTCAGTGCTCTTCCTGATGTGCTCATTTCCTGCATTTAGGGCAATTTTCTGTGAGAGACGGGGACCATTAAAAGTATACAGTGTATACATAAATTCCATCCTGGAGTTCAAACCAGACTCATCCTCTTAATGCCATTATTCCATATTAAAGGGTTCTGAGGTGTCTTAAAAGTAAAGGTAAAGATTTCCCCTGTCCAATCATATCCCACTCTAGGGGGTGGCACTCAGCTCCGTTTCGTAGTCGAGGGAGCCAGATGTTTCCATGGTCATGTGGCCACTATATGCCGAGGTGCCCTGAACGCTTTTACCTTCCCACCAAAGCGATACCTGTTTACCTACTCGCATTTGCATGCTTTTGAATTGCTAGGTGGGCAGGAGCTGAGGCAAGTACGGGAGCTCACCCCGTCACAAGGTGCTCAGGTCTTGAACCTGAGCTGTCAGGTTTCCAGCTGACAAGCTTGGTGCTTCAACCACTGAGCCAACTGCCCCCTTGTTGTCTAACTCCTTACTAAAAGCATTCTTCATAGAACCCTTGAAATGTGCTCTACTTGAGCTTTTCCTCAGAGGGGGAAAAGACTAACTGCTTCTTTCTTTGACATTGCTAGATTTGTTAGATTCTATGAACTTCACAAATCTCTGATTAAACAAGGAGCAAAGATTCCATTCCTCTCCTCCTAGCTCACAGTCTTGAAATTGAAATTATACAAACCATTAGTATTACCATCGTATCCACCTCCATTACTATTATCCTCATTTCCATCCAAGGTAGCAGAAAAACTGCATGAAGGAATGGAGAGAATGGATAATTTATAAATGAATCCATAGAACCAGAGTGATGTGACATCTGCCAAGAAGTCTATTAAAGAGAGATCATGTCTTGGAATTCTTCTGACAGTATCTTTAAACCCAGTAATTATGTGCTTTTGTCTCTGGATAGAAGTAGCTATGTTTGTTTTTATGACACCGGGCTTATTTGTTCCCAACCCCAGACCCTTCAGCCTAATTCAAATGTCAGGCTAACAGTTAATGATCATTGCTGGAAAATAGATTGCTGGTGTAATAAATATTTTAAAACTCTTGAGAAAACAGTGGCTTTTTATTTAATAGGCATTGTACGCATGTCATATTGGGGGGGGGGGTGCTGGTAAAATTCAGTCTTGGGCCCCTGACAGTCATGAATCAATTTCATGAGCAAAGAAAGTCCAATAGAACAGGGGTCCCCCAATCCCTGGTCTGCGGACCAGCACTGGCCAGTGACTCGCCAGAAACCAGACAGCACAAGCGAGTGAAGCCCCATCCATGCACACACAGGATCCAAGCACTGTGCAAAACCACATCCCCCCCCCCCGTGCACAGAAAAACTCCCCCCCCCCCATGAAACTGATCTCTGGTACCCAAAACATTGCAGGCCACTGCAAAAGAATGTCCAGAGAACTAGAGCTCCGAAGTACAGAAGGTCCTCCACTTACAACCATTCATTTAGTGACTGTTCAAGTTATAATGCATTGAAAAAAGTGACTTATGACCAGTTTTCACATTTAGGACCATTTCAGTATCCCAATGGTCACATGATCATAATTCAGGCAACTGGCATGTATGATTGCAGCCTCCCACGGTCACGTGGATCACCATTTGTAACCTTCTAGCTGGCTTCCAACAAGCAAAGTCAATGGGAGAAGGAAGATTCACTTAATAACTGCAGGATTCCCTTAACAACTGCAGTGATTTGCTTAACAACTGTGGCAAAAAGGTCATGAAATGGGGCAAAATTCACTTAACACCTGTCTTGATTAGCAATGGAAATTTCGGGCTCAGTTATGGTCATAAGCCGAGGGCCACCTGTATGCTCAGAACCACTTGCAGGTAGATCTAATGAAAATTCAGACAGAATTCCAGAGTGAAGCTAGAGTCAGTTCAGTTTAACAGAGTACACATTCATCTCTTCATCCCTATACAGCTCAGCTAATCAGGCAAAGTTTCAAAGAACAGGTAGGATGAGCACCAAAGATCCTTCAGGATGGTTCCTGAATCCAATGACTTATTGCAAGAGCTCAAGCTCCTAATGCAAAGGCAGTCTCTTTTTCCTGGGAATTTTGCCAAATTATCCCAGGAGCTAGCCAGTCTGCAATAATTTGGCTAGCTTTTTAAGTTCACATTCAGATGTGAAGGATGCAGGGGATCCTTGGCAAGACCACACTTGGAAAACTGCATCCAGTTTTGGTCGCCACAACATGAAGAAGATGTTGACACTCTAGAAAGAGTGCAGAGAAGAGCAACAAAGAGGATTAGGGAACTGGAGGTTAAACATACGTAGAACAGTTGCAGGAATTGGGTATGTCTAGTGTAATGAAAAGAAGGGCGAGGGGTGACACGATAACAGTGTTCCAATATTCTGTTGACAGCAGCTCTTCATTAATTCAATCAAGATGTGAAAGGTGGTGAACAACTCTTCCTTCTCCTAAGTATATTGCTACGATAAATGAAAAGATGGCCTCTAAACTCACAACATTGTTCTCATTATGCTGTAAAGAAGAAGGCTAGATGGATAGCATCCGAAATTGGTTTCCTCGCTCTTTTATAGAGAAGCAAGTGCAGATGGATAGATGATGGATGGATGGATAATAGATAGATAGGTGATGGATGGAGGAATGGATGGATGGTTATAGAGGGTGTGGGTAGAAGAGAGGGAGAAATTGCCACAATCATCTATAACACAGCATTGCTCTGTTCTTGAAACAAGAACCCTACAAGTAATTGAAGTATGTGCTTGTAAAGGGACAGCCAAAGCACGTTTACAAGATCCTTCAGTAAGCAGAGCAATTTTAGGACTCACACCAAAACTGTAGACAAATCAATGCCATGTGTGCAAAATCACACACTGTGACGATGATGGGAACCATGTTAACAGCTTAAATTGTTAGACAACCAGATGGCATTACTTACAGATTGGAACCACAGCCCTGCCGATGAAGTTATTTCTGTTTCACAGCCTGTTTCTGATTATTCTTGCCACAAAAAGCTTCACAGAGAGGTCTTTGGGTTTCATTTTTAATTAGCAATACTTCAGGGATACTGATTGCTGGTGGATTCAATGTAACAAACAGGGTAACACTTTCCCCACGTGATTCCGGTGCAGGCACTCAAAATAGTATTAGGCAGAATGTGAAGCTTTTCGATCTTTGCTGAAAGGTGCTACAAACATATGCATAACACACCTATCTTCTCTACCAGACATTCTTTAGTTTGCCAGGAGCTATAATGTTTTTTCTTATTAGTAAAACATGAAATGTTGTGGCTTCTCTCTTTTAGGATATTTTCTATTGTAGAAGGATGGCTGCCTTCAGTTTAAAGGAACAGAATGGAAACCTTCTTTTCTAAGGATTTTCTATGGGTGTTTTACTCCACAGTATCTTTTCCTAATAATGATCATTTGCTGATCCCTGGTTCTTAATTACTTTTTGAAATGATTATTGGAAAGCATTCTGGAGACCTGTATGTGCAAAACCATGTCCTGTAGAATCAATATTTAAGTAATTATCTTTAAATTAACCATCAAAGCACTATCACCCACTGTGATTGTATATTTTTGTATATCCAGATTCGATTCATAAATGTCAAACTGAGTTTTGGGCGGATTCCACAAGACTATTCTTATTAAGTTATTCATATTTCATTATGTTTTAGTAGCATATCATTAAGAGACAGTTTGGGCTAAGGCTCCAGGCTAGAAAGTGGAAGATTGTGAATTCAAGTCCTGCCTTAGTCATGAAAGCCAGCTGGGTGACTTTCGGCCAGTCACTGTTTCTCAGCCCAATCCACTTCACAGGGTTGTGGGGGGAAATAGGGTATAAAGGAGGAAGGTATGTTGGACCTGTTCATTGCTTTGAGTTCTTGTAAAAATAATAAAGGTGGGATGCAAATAAATCAATATAAATCAATATCTACATAGTCATATCAGTACAACTCTTACTAGAAACTCAAATAATTCTCTGTGCCTGATTCTTTTGACAAACAGATTACAGACTGTTCAAAATTACAATGGGATTAAAAAATAGTTTTGTGACCAATCCTACCATTTGCAGTGCAAGCATTGCAGTGTCCCGCAGTCACATGATCATGTGATCACGTTTGTGTGCTTTGCGACTGGCGTGTGACAAGCAAAGTTAATAGAGAAGATGGAGGTAAACTGTTAAGTCATAGTCACATGATGTTTCATTAAGTGACTGTGGCAATTCTCTTAACAACTGAAAGGGAAGTGATGTCATAAACCCCTTTGCTGTCATGTGATATTTCCCTTAGAGACTGGGGCATTTAGTGATGGGATTGCCTGTCCCAATTGTGGTCATTAAGTGAGCACTATTTGTACCCACCTGATTCCTAATTTATGGCTCTTATATCTTGAAATGTTTAAGTGGATTTCATCTGATACTTTCCCCTATTTTTCTTGACAATCCTTTTGTTTTATAAGGGGGCGCCATAGCCTGGAGTTTGATCCTGATGGGGCCCAAAGTTGCCTCAGCCTTCACTCCTTCCGAGCTAGATAAAATAAGGACCCAGATTGTTGGGGTCAATATACTGATATTGTAAAGTGCCCAGAGAGTGCCGTAAGGCACTATGGGGCAGTATATGAGTCTAAGTGCTATTGCTATAAGGCCTACAGCTTAGCAGATTGAAAAATTGTCAGCAAGTAATAGAAAAGGATCAATAGCTTTAGGTCAGAGGTTCTGTCTTGGGATTAGGATCCACTTTAGAATGGATCGTATTTCTTGCCAAAGAGGGTTTGGGAAAGAGAGGGGTGTATGCATACCATTATTATGATCGTTGTCACCCATGATTTCTTTCTGTCTGGTTGCATATTTGGAGTGGTGGGTGGTTTTTTTTTTTTTTTTTGCAAATAAACATCTGGTTTATTTATTTTTTCACCATCCTCCTTTTGTTTGCTGATTGATCATTCTTCAGTCACCTTTTTATCCATTGCTTTTCTTTCTTGACCCATCCTTTTTTTCCTCAATACTGTAGATCCCATTCCCTTATTTTGTTTAAAATGCAGTCATTGTTCATTTGTACTTTTTTTAATTCTTCCCTTTGCTCATTTGTTTGCCTACCCCTTCCAAATCATTTCAAATGATATTATTTTATGCATTTTTAAAACCTGTGTAAACTCTTTTGTGTCTTTTTTTCCCTTCTTTGTTCTCCTAAATCCTTCCCATCCCATTTTGGCTGACCTAACAGGTATATTAAGCCAATTGAGAACAGGCAATGGGACAGGTCCCAAGCTGTGTTGAAAAGTGATTATTGGGAATTCTGCAAAAGTCATTTGAGCAAGCAGTTTCTACCGTTGAAACAGCATGTAACGTACAAACTGCTCTTATTGATTTCCTTACCATTTAGAATGCATACTTTATCCTCTCTAATGGTCTGGCTTTCCAGTAAGTGTCGTTCTATTATGTTAGAAAGCAAATAGTTATGGGCATTTCAATAACCAAGATTATAAAAGAGAGTAACTCAAATCTCCTGGACTAATTTCAATAAAATTTGGCAGAATCCAAAGTACCGGTCTTACTTTTCTGCAAATCCCATTTATGATTTCCCCAAGTTAGGTAATGGGAGCGTGGGACTCCAATTTTCCAGAATTTTGATCCAGATACAGAAAGTTGTTGGGACAAGCAGCATCTTGGAACAATGAGGTGGGTTAGCTAGCCTGCTTTCTGAAATGAGGATCCCAGACATCCTTGCACAATCCTAATAGAAAGCTACATTTACAAGACTTTCCCTGGAATTGGAAAAAAAGAACAGTAAAAGTGCTCAGTTGTATCACTGCTTGATTCTTTATGTAGTTCAGTTAAGGAATATTGGAATCCTATGAAAGCCAGTTCACTCTCCTTCAGATTTCTGAGGAATATAGAGTTAGGCCTACCATATCCAGGTAACAAAAATGCTGACAACCCTTAATAACAACAAAAATATAGAATGCCTTCTGTAGCCAATATTGGCCTGATCAGTTAGATCTATTACAGCAAGAGCACTTAGATTTTATATACCGCTTCACAGTGCTTTACAGCCCTCTCTAAGTGGTTTACAGAGTCAGCCTAATGCCCCCAACAATCTGGGTCCTCATTTTACTGACCTTGGAAGGATGGAAGGTTGAGTCAACCTTGAGCTGGTCAGAATTGAACTCCTGGCAGTGAACAGTGAGTTGGCCTGCAATACTGCATTCTAACCACTGCTCCACTGTGGCTCATTATAGTGAAACTGCTAAAAATCTCTCACTCCTTGGATGTTCAGGGGGCTAAAGCAAGGAGGAGTTGCTTCTCTATGGCACTGCTGGTAGTGTATAATAGCGTCCCTCTGAAAATAGGGCTGGGCCCTTTATTGCTAAATTTTTGAAAACTTATGAAAATGAAATTGATAAAGAGAGTATCTGTGGTTCAGGGTTGAACTGTGGGGTCTTCGGTGCTCTTTGAGCTTGGTGGTTTCCTTGCAGACGTTTCATTACCAAACCAGGTTAACAACATCAGTGCTAGTCTAGAAAGAAAGATCTGCAAGAAAACTACCAAGCTCAGAGAGCATTGAAAATGAAATTGCTTGAGATACACGTCTCCTGCTTTAGTCTTGCCTTCTTTATTTTTTTTTTAAATTTATTATTTATTTATATGTTTATTCGTCACAATTCTATACTGCCCATCTCACTTAAGTGACTGTGGATGGCTTTTATGATACTATGTATATTGTTTGTAAATAGGAACAATGTTGAGTTTTTGGATTGGGCTGTGGTTGTTTTAACAAGGCAAGCTGCCCAGAGTCTTTTTTTTTTAACAAATATGGATGGGTGGATAGAAATAAGTTTATTAAATTAAAAAAGAATGATGACTGATCCTGAGAAGTAGTGTTGATGAGTTGTAAACTCATCAGTTGTACATATATAAGGAATGGTTGCTAGAATTGGGTATGTCTAGTTTAACGAAGAGAAGGACAAGGGGGGACATGATAGCAGTATTCCAATATCTCAGGGGCTGCCATAAAGAAGAGGAAATCAAGCTATTTTCCAAAGCACCTGAAGGCAGGACAAGAAGCAATGGGTGGAAACTAATCAAGGAGAGAAGCAACCTAGAACTAAGGAGAAACTTCCTGACATGAGAACAATTAATCAGTGGAACAGCCTGCCTCCAGAAGCAGTAAATGCTCCAACACTGGAAGTTTTTAAGAAGAGACTGGACAGCCATTTGTCCAAAATGGTGTAGGGTTTCCTGCCTGAGCAGGGGGTTGGACTAGATGACCACCAAGTCCCTTCCAACTTTACTACTATTACTATTACTAAAAGAAAGTGTATAAATGCTTAACTATTATATTTTCTTATTTGCTTCGAAACTTGAACGTGACCTGAGGAAAAAAAGTGTTTAGAAATCTTTTTCAACAATATCTGAGCTTTCCTGAGCGAATAAGGTGAATCATCTGAGCAGAATGGCCACGAGAGAGACAATTATCTGATGCATAAACTGTTACAAACTTTATAACCTGGCTTTCCTCTTCACTAAGCTTTGAAAAGCCACCCAAGGCCAAGGATCAAAGCAATGAAACTGCAGAATACATTTTGCTGAAACAATAACAAACTCAACTTCCTCAGACGTCAATGGGGCAGGTTTATAGAACGGATATATTTATTATCATTATTATTTTGAGGCTGTTGAAGGGGAACTCATAATCACCCGACCTGCAGACTGAAAGCTGAACTTAAATATCACTCAGTCTTATCACCATTGTCATGCACAATATGATTACAAGGATCACTAAAAAGTGTCAGAGGCAGAACAGGATTAAGGTGGCAGCGAGTACAGCTCATAAATGAATAGCTATTTAATGCTTATCAGAAGCAATAAAAATTGGAGGTTTGCCGTGTTTTGGTTCAAGATATCTGTATTATGATATCTGGAGTTGAATTCTGTTTCTGCTTCCGTTCATATACAAGGAATTTCTCTACCTCTTCTTTTCTTGCAGTCTTTGTTCTAAGATAGAAATCACACATTGCTAAGCTTTGTTTTAATCATGGTTTAGGCAATACATTTCAACTGGCTGGATTCTCACCAATCTACTAGGTTCCAAATTATGATTTGCAGACCGCGATGGATTGGGTTTGGGGAAAAAAAATCTAAATCTAGTAAGCCAAACAATTGTTTGGCTGAAGCTTCAGAACATAGCTGAAACCTGAGATGCTTTTTACATTTGGTAAATCTGCAATCTAGCTAAATCTTGTTTTCTGTTTCTTACTTGAGCATTAAAATCTGTGGCATAAAAACACGGATATATTGTTAAATCCTGCTTCTTAAAGGAAAAGTCCTCACCATCCTATAACTTATAGTTACATTAACTTCAAATTCAAAATAAGTACAATCAGTCTTGTCCAACTCTTTATGGAAGAGATTAGAGACTAGAGTCTTTTGTGTTCAAAAGACTCCGGCATTATCAGCAAAACCTGACCATTGTTTACATATCTGATGAACCAAACCACAATAGCAAGCTAACAAGAAGAGAAACATCAGAAGCACAATCAGGGCCACGCCTTCCTAATTCAATATATCAAACTAAAAAAAAAGAGAGAAAGAGATGAGCTGAAAAGGCAAAATTGTCTCATCACCATCATCTCAATTTAAAATACATCAAACTAAGCATAACCTTGGAAAGGCATCGTGAACAGGCTTTCAGTTTGCTCCTTGACTGCATTTATCATAGTCAGGTATTATTTTTTTTCCCTTCTGTCAAATCTTGAGATCCAGAAGCTGGCTGTAGCTTGCAGTACATTAATATTTTCATAAATCTGCTCCCTCTATGAGTGCTGCCACTGTTTTACGCTGAACCACTTTCCCCCTTTTCCTGAGATAAGCAATAAAATGTCACATATTTCTGTCAGAAACAGCTACTGGAGCAAGTAAATGAAGGTGGAGTGGATTGAATTTTCTTAATATGAGCCAAAACTGGGTTTACATCAGAGTTGCAAGCACTGCCCTATATATCTGTCAGGCCTATGGATAGAACTGAATTTCTTTCCCAGTTAATGATTGAATAAAATCATTTAGGATAACGTTACATCATGGATAACTTTCCTGTTGTCATGCAGTTGTTTTTATCTCTTCGCAGGAATTGCATCCATTCAATTTGAAAAACCAGATCTATCAGAACATAACACAAATAAAACGG